CTCCAACCCCCCAAAAAACAAACAAACAAACAAACCAAAACACACACACACACACACACACACACAAAAAAAAAAACACCACACACCAAGAGGGACCCCCAGCATCACCCACCTTCCTCTTCGACCGTATGCTCTCCATCTGGCGCGGCGTCTGCTCCCCGATGGTCCTGCTCCCCCAAAGCGTCATCCCGATCCTGGCGTAGGTGTAGCCCATGCACAGAAGCGGCACTATGTAGGTCAGCACCATGAGGATCACCGTGTGCCTGAGAGAGGGAGAAAGGGAGGGGGGGCGTTATTAAATGGGGGGTTATTGGTTTTGCTTGTTGTGATGGGGAGGGAGGGGGGAGAGGAGAGGGAGAGGGAGAACGGGTGGGGGCGTTATTAAATGGGGGGGGTTATTGGTTTTGCTTGTTGTGATGGGACGGGGGGGGGGGGGGGAGGGAGAGAGGGAGAACGGGTGGGGGAGGGGATTATTAAATGGGGATTATTGGTTTTGCTTGTTGTGATGGGGACGGGGGGGAGAGGAGAGGGAGAACGGGTGGGGGCGTTATTAAATGGGGGGTTATTGGTTTTGCTTGTTGTGATGGGGGGAGGGGGAGAGGAGAGGGAGAACGGGTGGGGCGTTATTAAATGGGGGGTTGTTGGTTTGTTTGTTGTGATGGGGAGGGGGGAGAGGGAGAGGGAGAGGAGAACGGTGGGGGCGTTTATTAAATGGGGGGTTATTGGTTTTGCTTGTTGTGATGGGGGGGGAGGGGAGAGGGAGAGGGAGAAACGGGTGGGGCGTTATTAAATGGGGGATTATTGGTTTTGCTTGTTGTGATGGGAGGGAGGGGGAGAGAGGGAGAACGGGAGGGTTATTAGAGGAGGGTTCTTTGTTGGTAGAGTCTTGGGTTTGTTTGTGAGGGGGGGGGGGTATTAGAGGAGGGTTTTTGGTTTTGCTTGTTAAGATGGGGTTGGGGAAGTGAGAGAGAAAAAAAAAAAGTGAGATGGAGAGAGAGAGAGAGAGAGAGAGAGAGAGAGAGAGAGAGAGAGAGAGAGAGAGAGAGAGAGAGAGAGAGGGAGAGAGAGAGAAGAGGAGAGGAGAGTGAAAGAGAGGTGGAGAGAGAGGAGAGAGATGGAGAGAGAGACAGAGACAGACAGGGACAGAGAGAGAGAGAGAGATAAAGGGATAGAGAGATAAGGAGACAAAGTGAAAGAGAGATAGATAGAGATAGATAGATAGATAGATAGATAGATAGATAGATAGATAGATAGATAGAGAGAGAGAGAGAGAGAGAGAGAGAGAGAAATTATTACTTATACGAAGGAAACAGAAAAGACAGAAATCTTTTAAAAACTCCCTAATTAATCCCTTTTTAATTCGCCATCTCCGCCAAATCGCCCCAAACGTCAAGCTAATGATGTAAAAGATGGAATCAAATCAGGCTAATCAACCCTTATCGCAAAAATCTCGAATAAAACCCAATTCAATGTAATCAGAAATGATTCGTTCGACGCCATCAAATATATCATTAGATACTGATACCTTCCTTTCCTTACCCCCCCCCCCCCGACACACTAATACCTCCCCCCCCCCCCGACACACTTATACACCTCCTCCTCCCCCCCCCCTCTCCTTAAAGAAAAGAAAATGTTTTATGCGTAATGAAATATTTATATATAAAAAAGATGCTATCCATTAACTACAGTCATTAATAATTTTTTCCTTCATTAAATTATTACGATACTATGAGCTCGTTTTAGGATTTTTTCAATTCCCTTTTTTTCTTCTTTTTTTTTTTTTTACTTTGAGATTAAAGTCTTATCCATATCGATTTATGTTCTTTTCATGTCTTCGCGAAGGAAAAGTTGGCGGGAGGGGGAGGGGGAGGGGGAGGGGAAGGAAGGGGAGGAAAGAGAAAGGTGGAGTAAGGCAGAAGAATTAAGAGAAGGAAGGTAGGAGGAAAGAGAAAGGAGGAAGGACACGCAGAAGAGATTAAGAGAATGAAGGGAAGGAAAGAGAATGAAAGGAAGGGCAGAAGAGATTAACAGAGAGATTAAGAGAAGGAAGGAAAGAGAAAGAAGGAGAAGAGAGATTAAGAGAAGGAGGAAAGAGAAAGGTGGAAGGGAAGGCAGAAGAGATTAAGAGAAGGAAGGAGGAAAGAGAAAGGTGGAAGAGAGCAGAAGAGGATTCGGAGAAGGAAGGAGGAAAGAGAAAGGTGGAAGAAGAGGCAGAAGAGATTAAGAGAAGGAAGGAGAAAGAAAAGGCGGAAGGAGAGAGAAGAGTTAAGAGAAGGAAGGAGGAGAGGAAAGAGAAAGGTGGAAGGAAGGCAGAAGAGATTAAGAGAAGGAAGAAGAGGAAAAGAAAGGTGGAAGGAAAGGCAGAAGAGATTAAGAGAAGGAAGGAGGAAAGAGAAAGGAGAAAAGGAAGAGATTAAGAGAAGGAAGGAGAAAGAGAAAGGTGGAAAGAAAGGCAGAAGAGATTAAGAGAAGAAGGAGGAAGAGAAAGGTGGAAAGAAAGGCAGAAGAGATTAAGAGAAGGAAGGAAAGAGAAAGGTGGAAAGAAAGGCAGAAGAAATTAAGAGAAGGAAGGAGGAAAGAGAAAGGTGGAAAGAAAAGGAGAGATTAAGAGAAGGAAGGAGGAAAGAAAACGATGGAAAGAAAGGCAGAAGAGATTAAGAGAAGGAAGGAGGAAAGAGAAAGGTGGAAAGAAAGGCAGAAGAGATTAAGAGAAGGAAGAGGAGGAAAGAGAAGGCAGAAGAGATTAAGAGAAAGAAGGGAGAAAGAGAAAGGCGGAAAGAAAGGCAGAAGAGATTAAGAGAGAGATAAAGACGCGGTTCAACTGGTCTTGTGTACGCGGAGGTCTGGCCGCGCGTGGGGGCTATCTGGGCCGAATCGCGTCGCTTTGGGGCCAAATCTGGGGGCTGAAGAGAGCCGCGATAACACGACCTTGAGCGGTCTTTTCCTTCGGGTTTCTCAGGGCTTATCGGGGTGCAAATAGATACTACTGCCTGTAATATCATTATCAATATCTTTCATGACATTATCAATATCTTAAAGTATCTATATAATCAAGAAAAGTTATGATAGAATTTTATATATAAAGTCAACATAATAAGTATATATAAAGTCAACAGGGGTTAGATTAGAATTTTATATAAAACATCTAGAATAATTATCACATAATTCCCTTTTCATTACGAAAAAAGAATATAATGAAAGGAAAATAAAGAAGAAAAGGCTGATTTGAAACTGAAGATTTAGAGTCGCGTCGACGGCCCGTCAGACTGGCCTCGATTCGAAAACAGTAGATCGGTTTCCGCGTTTCTTCGAAAAATCATACGCCATGAAACACGAAACTTCAGCGAAAACAGGGAATGGGTCCTTGTGTTACATATTCCACATATGAGATGTACTACGTTACTCAAGCGAGAGGCATGAGCGGTCAAGGTATTTAGGCTTATATAGGCCTTGTGTGCGGTCTGGTGCGGCGGTGCTTTTCGCAGTTGAAACGCTAAGTCTGGCTGGGCACAAGTCGGGTCCTCAACGAAGAACCGCGCCTTAAGGAGGCAGGGAAGGAAAGAGACACACACACATGTACAATGTATACATTCATACCTACACAATGCATATGAATAAATATATATGTATATATATTCATGTGTGTGTGTGTGTATGTATCTACGTACACGCACACACACACACACACACACACACACACACACACCACACACACACACACACACACACACACACACACACACACACACACACACACACACACACACACACACACACACACACACACACACACACACAAGATATATATATATATATATATATATATATATAATATATATATATATATATATATATAATATATAGTATATATATATAAAGAGAGGGGGAGTGGAGACAGGGAAATCATAAAAACTAGCAAGATAGCAAGATGGAGAAAAAAGGGGGGGGGGGTAAGAAAGCGACGTGATGTAAGTGGAACAACATATCACAAAAAGGACAAAAAATGCTACATCTACTTCACACTACACAAAAGTAGGTTAAGCGTACGTCTCTACCCTCAGCATTAAGACTTAAAGCTGCACGGTCTTTGCAATATGACATGTGTTTAATCCTTAATCTAAAACTCGAGCCAAACACAACTTCCACTGAGACTCCGTATGCTAAATTTGCCCAGAAGCCCCGCCCCCTTTTCCACGCCCAGGAATCTGATTGGTTTAGCGCGAAATTTTCTCGTTTTTATTTATTTTATTTACATTCACTTTATACATAATATTAAATAGGATTGTTCTTCTTTATGATGAAAATGGTGGTGGTAATAGTAAAATGATGATGGTTATGACTGTTTATGAAGATGTTGATGATAATGATGATAATGATAATGATGATAAATGATAACGATAACGATGATGATGATGGTAATGATAATGATAATGATGATGGTGATTATGATTATGATGATAATAATGGCAATAACAATGATTATAATAAAAACATATAATAATCGAGTATTTACGATGATAATCATCATGGTAATTGCAATTTCAAAGATAATGAAGTAACAATGATAATCATCATAATAATAGTAATGATAGTGAAATACTAGTGATAATGATAAAATATTGATCATAAAACAATAATAATGATTAACTGATAAAAATACAAAAGATAATGATGATAATAACAACGTCAATAATAATGAAACATAATATTAATAACAGTAATATTGACAGCACTGACAAGACCGATTATATCTCCGGACATGTATTGTTTTCAACAATTTCAAGCTGTATTTTTCTCTTCCTTTTACAAACAACCCGAACAAAAATAAAGAAATAAACAAGCAGATGAAAAAAGAAAGGTAAAATCGACACAAAATCTTCGTTTCAAAAATTCAGGTAAACACAAAACACGTCAAATGCGGGCGCTTAAATATGTTAACAAACAACAGCTGTTATCTACGCACTGAATGTAAACAGGACAGAATTAAACTTATAAACATCAAGAATGTTTCTTACTTGAGACCCCTCCCCCCCCCCCACCCCCTTGCACCGAATGCGAAACCTGTGCTATTTCATTTTTAATCCAGCTATTCTATGACAGGGTTACTATCTTAAGTAAAGTGTACGTTGATATAGTTTCTTTGTATTTATTGTTTATCTTAGCTACTGTATATACACGTTCGTCTGTCTGTAAGTTTGTTAGAGTATGTACATGTGCGCTGTTTATTCTTGTATCCACTTGTCCGTCTCATTAAAATGGTATCGACAAACATCCATATCAATCTATCTATCCTTCCCTTTCCTCACTCCCACTCACCTTCCCCATTTGCACCTCCTGTCAACTTGTTTTTCAGGTTATTAGTCCCTTGCTATGCATGCTGTGTTGCCCCTTTGTCTAATTGGTTCTACATCCGCATGGCAAAGTACATAGGTTACGCACGGTGCATAAGTCTTTCAACACCTCTGTCTATCATATTCAGATATCAGCCCCATGATATAAGTTTTGTACCCACTAAACATCGACAGTACTCTCTCTATTTCACCGCAAAGTCGTTTCTAGCAACATAAATAACTTGTATGTGAAAATGTTTACCGAATAAGTTAATATCACCTATTTCAGGCTATCTACCACTCACTTATATGTGAAAATATTTACCGAATAAGTTAATATCACCTAATTAAGACTATCTACTACTCAGAGACCATGAATATTTCCAAGCTCACTTATACTTAAAACCTCTACGTCTATCACACATTCATCTATTAAAACAAAATCAAACAAAAAGCAAAAGTCATATATACAGATAGACAGAGAGATAGACAGATAGGTAGACAGGTAGATGGATGGATAGATAGATAGGTAGACAGGTAGATAATGGATAGATAGATAGGTAGACAGGTAGATGGATGGATAGATAGACAGGTAGATGGATGGATAGATAGGTAGGTAGACAGGTAGATAGATGGATAGATAAATATGAACAACTCCAATAAAGTCACGTCAAAATCGCAAACCCCCCCAAAATCAGACCAAAATCCAGGTAGATGGATGGATAGACAGATAGGTAGACAGGTAGATAGATGGATAGATAAATATGTACAAGTCAGTAAATCCGTAAAAACCGTAAAAAAATCAAACCAAAACCCCCGATTCCAACCAGCGAGACACAAAACCCAACTCACGCGTATTCGAGGTGACTCTCCCCCTGGTCCCCGTCGGGCCAGGCTCCATAGCAGACGATCCGCTCCCCTCCGTCCTTGATGGGCAGGGCCTCGGTCGTGTAGAACAGCATGTTGGGCATCGATATGAAGATGGACGATACCCAGATCCATACCACGATGAGGATCGTCCCCTTCCAGCCCATTCGCGGTCGGAGGGGGTACATGATGGCCACGTATCTGAAGGGGTTGGAAAGAGATGGGTGGAGTTAGTAAGGGTTGAGGGAGGTGGAATGGTAAGAATAATTATTTGGTTTTATGTCGAGTTCTTTTGTGCTGGAACGGTTAGGATGGTGTCTAATCTTGAGGATTTGGCTGAGAGATCTTTATTACTCCGTGTGAATACTCTTTTTAACCACGGACTATGAAGCAGAATTCAAAAAACCAAGATAACTTTTATGTCACGGAGGAAAAATTCACACTACTGATGAAAATAGTAATAAGAACATTTAAAAAGCAAAAACTCTGCCAGAATCCAAAACTCCACATCTAACAGTGATTAAGAATCCTGCATATTCGTCCTTGATTCGGATGCTGCGCCAGATCACCATCGAATACGTAAGCCTAACGCAAATTTTGAGCAGGATCCGATTCTCCAAAGAGTGGTGATGAATCCTTAACTTCATCCTGCCTCCGAGCGACGACCCACACGCGCGCCAGAACCAAATCCACTGGTCCCGACCCATGGGCATTACATCCACAAAATTTCATCACGGTCTTTATAAAAAACAAACAAACAAACAAACAAAAAACACAACCTTGACCTAGGTACAATAATGAGGGTGACGCTGATGATATTTGTAATAAAATGACATTAGCCTATTTATTAGCAAAAACAATAATGAACGTGACGCTAATGATATTTATAATAAAAGGACATTTATTAGCAAAAATAAAATCAAATAAAATGATAATCATGATAGAAATAGATAAATAAATAAGATTAAAAAGTATGATAATGATGATGTTCACCCTAAAAATGATAATGACAGGAATGATAGGTCAGTGTCCCTGTGGAAATGGCGGTACCACCCTCATCTGACCTGATGTCCTTCCTAACATCAACGAAGTCAAAAGAACGACCTGTTTGGGCCGATCCAGCGAGGCTTACTGGTGGTCACTGTTGCTATCCCTGCCATTATCATTAGTGCAGTTGCCAGTGCAAACACACGCAATATTTTTGTGCCTGTGTATGAAGTAGAGCAAATAGAGATTATCTGTGGATTTGTAGCTATTATATCACTATGATAAATAGTTTTCATACCGGTCGCATTGGCAGTGG